CTTAGCAACAGATTGTGGGTTGAATGAAACTGAGGAGTCAAGAATGACACCTACGTTGTGAACTGTGGTGACAGGGATAATGGTAATGCTCAAAAGTAGTAGGGAAATTTGAAAGAAGGGAATGTTGTGGGGGTGGGGAGGTAGGGTACAGATAATGAGCCCTGTTTTGGACATTTTGAGTTTTAGATGTCTACAGGATATTCAGGTGGAGATGTGTAATAGTTGGTGGTACAGGACTGGAGGTCAGGATTGGATATATAGATTTAGGAATCATGCATGGAGATGATAATGGAAACCATGGAAGATAAGGAGATTGAACAAGATAACATGGAGGAAGAAGAGAAAAGGTTCAAGGATAGCTCACAGTTAGCAGATAAAGATGAAGATCCAACAAAGGAGACTAAGAAGGAATGGTCAGAGCGGTGGGAGGAAAACCAGTGAAAAGCTGTATCAGCAAAACCTAGAGATGAGAATGTATCTAGGAAGGAAGGGAAAGTAGCCTGAGAGATAGTAGATAACAGCTGCCTGATTCTCAACTGGGTGAAAAATATGGATTGAATGAACCTCAGAGGAGGAAAAGTTACTGAGTGATGGTTGTAGATAAAAGTGGCAATGGTAAGCAAGAAGTTTCTAACTCCCCCACCACAATCAGTGAGTCAGGAGGCATGATATAGGTGATGTAAAAACCAAAGACAGCAAGAATTTTAAAGTACTATTTTAAGTTAAATAGCAAACAATAATCAAATAAACATAAAATAAGAAATAAAATGATACATAAAAACCATAGTTTGTATATATGTATATATATGTATGTTTGTATGTATATGAAATATACAAAAGAGTTTCTATGTATATGGAAACTTTAAGGAATTATCATTTTTTGCTTGTTTTTAGATTTTATTACTATTTTTAATAGCCATACTGATTACTTTTCCAAATAATGAAAGGCTAAGTTAAGAGGAGTAAGTTTCAGGAAAAGCTCCTGAATTATATGAGTTGGCAAACAATTGATTCAACAAGTATTTCCTGATATATATTCCTGATATATGCAGAGTACTGTGGCCAATTGTTAAGTAATTTAATACTGGAGTTTTTACTACTCAGAGTGTCTAGGAGTCATTGTAGATTGTTCCATGAAAACATGGGCCTGGTGTGGTGTTTGAAAACAAAAATTCTAAAAATGCTGGGCAACTGTAAGGCAGATGACAACACAGGAGGCACTGGAGTTTTTTGGACTCCAGCCCCTAACAGATTCACTCTTGATCTGGGCAGCCAGAAGGACAGGAAGACAACTTTGGAGGGGTTAAATAAGTTTACTTTATTCTAGTCTAGTCTTCTCAAGAGGATTGCTGATAATGGGGGCACCAGTTCCTACAGCATTCCCTAATCACTCTTCTCGCAGGGGTGACTGAGAGTAGGAGCATAACTCCTAGCATCTTCTAAGTCTCAATAGGGGCTGGTTGAGGCAAACATACAGATTCCCCCTAATCCTTGATGGGGGCCAATCAAAGCAGGTACATGCATCCCTCTATGCATTATCCAGATCCTACAATGGGTTCCTCACTTACTAACCAGTGCCCACTTGTTTTATGGGGCAACCGACAAAGAAGGCAATTTGTCAATATTAAGCTCACAGATTAACTTTAGCAATATCGTCATGACCTAGCACAGTGCAGGTGTACATTATGTCATCCTTATGTCACTGCAACTTTGCAGTAAAAGTTTTCAACCATAATTCGTGGGAAATATATATTTTGGCCATGGATCCTGAGACCTGTTACCTAAAAAAAATAACAAAAATCCTCCTTATACACACTAAAATCCACCTTACAGCAACACAGGAAGTCAATGGCATTTAGAATTGAAAGGGACTTTAGAAATCCCTTCGTCCAACTACCCACTTTACAGATGAGCACAGTGAGTCACAGAGAAGTAAAATGATTCATCCAACATCACAAAAGTAATAAGCAGCAGTGCTGAGATTAAATGTAGGTCTTTTTACTCCAAATCTTGGTTTCTTTTTTTTTTTCTCTCTACCTTGACTAATCTGGAAGTAGAGTAATCATTGGTCAAACTGCTGGTAAACAAAGAAGCTTTGTTTGATTCTGTGGCTCCCTGGCTTCTCAAGTTTGACCATATTGGTGTCAGACTCAGTGTGGACACCCAATCACAAAATCAGCTTTAGCTTGAAATTTCTAAGCTCAAGCAATCCATCAGCCTCAGTCTTGCCAGTTGCAGGGATTACAGGTGTGTGCCACCATGCCTGGCTCCAGATCTTCTGTTCTTTCAATTACACAAGTATTACTGAAAAAGATTTGGAAATAAGCAGATAACAACTCATTTGTACATCTGTTCTTGGGATTCTAGTCATTGCCCCTCAAATAGGGGGGAAAAATCTGGAGATACACAATGATACACAAGGGGAAGAAGAAGATTCTCACATGCTAACTAAAAAGGCTGAGACATCACATCAGAAGGACATAGATCTAAGGGATGATATGACTACAGTCAATGACATACAGATGAAGCAAACACATGCTGAAACTTAAAGAAATAAATTTAGGATACATGAAATACAGCTTTAAGCAGTGAGCCATAAATACCTGGAGCTGATTGCCATAAGAAGTGATATAGAGTGAAAATGCAAGTAAGTTGATGGAATAAGGTAAATTCATCATTACTAAACTCCTATTCTGAAGCTCACCATGGCTTGAAGGTGGCCCTGGGCTCTTGAAGGCTATGCTACTGGAAACTAAGCCTTGGCAGGCCCTAATACCAAGTTGGAGGTGCTTCAAGTATCTGCTTGGTGGTATGGTCTGTCATCCAAAGACCAGCCTAAATAAAGGAGAGGTTTGCCATCAGCTGATGAATTTCTTTGGCCACTACAGCTCACAAACTTTACAAAGGCATGGAGAGATTTTAATTTGTCTTGGTGGGGACTATACCCACCATGATCATAAGATTATAGATTTAAATCTGTGGAAGGGACCTTAGAGGTCAATATGTCCAACCTCATCTTTTACAGGTGAGGACACTGAGGTCTACAGAAGTTAAATGACTTAGCCAGGAACTAGCATAGCAAGTAACTGACTCCAGATCCAGTATTTCTTTCACTTCACCAAACTGCTAAGATTGAATCATATACTTTCTGAAATAATTAAATAAGATGAATTCATAGCTAATGAAGTTATGATAGGTTATTAAAGGAAGCTATGGAATGTCTTGTGGTCACATTTCCAATGGATCCATTTCTAATCTTTTAAGTTTGACACTAAAAGCAACCCACACCCTCCCAAGGAACTTCTTGCTCTGTCTCGTCTGACTCTTCATGACCCCATTTGGGGTTTTCTTGGCAAAGATACCAGAGTGGTTTGCCATTTCCTTCTCCAGCTCATATTCCAGATGAGTAAACTGAGGTAAACAGGGTTCAGTGACTTACCCAGAGTCACATAGCTAGTAAAAGTCTGAGACCAGATCTGAACTCATTAACATGAATCTTCCTGACTTCTAGGCCTGGCACTCTTTCTACTTCACCACCTAGCTACCCCAGTACAAGAAACTTACTGTCAAGCTAAACATTGAATCAGATTGAACCATGATCCCCTTCTGGGTGGGGATGGGGACAAGCCATTTCAATAACGTCTTAGTTGATTGAAAAAGATTCGGTGTGGGAACAACTCAGAAAATTGAGGGAACCCCAGGAGATAACCTTTACTTGAAAGTTTTCCTTAGGAAGGGACCTTACAGGTCAATTTGTCCAACCTCATCTTTGACCGATGAGGGCACTGAGGTCCAAAGAGGTTAAAGTGACTTTTCCAGGAAGAAGGGTGGCAAGTGACTAACTCCAGATTCCCTCCCTCTTCCCACAACCTGCCAGTGCAACCACACAGCCCCTGGGGGATGAAGAATGGGGATGGCAAGTTGCTAAAAGGCACCGATGCGCAACTGAATAAATCCACCAAAAGTGGGAGGAGATGGTTCAAGGGCCAAGAACAAGGTGATGCTCTCTCACATTTCTCGGGAGTATTTTGCTGCATTTTCTTTTCTGTATGACTAGGCGGAAGGATGTTTGGGAGATGGGGATCATGGTGGGAGGGTGGAATGTTGTCCTACACTCCTTCATTATTGCCAGGGGTATTGCTGTTTTAGATTCTCTACAGTATATACCTGTTCTGCACAACCACCCCACCACCCATTTATGTGAAGCAAAAGCAATTTCCTTCGATTTTACAAGACTAGAGAGATAAATATTTGTTCTTTTGAATGGACGACCCCTTCCTGACTCATCCTATTCCCGAAGTCCCAAGCTAGGATCCCTAGCACATGAGTGGGGCGTCCCCGACCTGCCCCGGGAAGAACAGCACGGCTGTTCGGCCCCGCCGATGACGTAGCGCAGAACCCGAACTCCAGCGCTTTGCCCAGGCTTCCTTTATTCTTCTAGGGCACTGCCACACCCGCCGTATACCGGCGGCCCAGCTACGCTGCTAGCGTAGTGGCCTCCGCCAGACTCCCCGCCCCCAGCCCCTCCGACGGGGGCCCGCCCCATCCCAGACGCCCGTTTACGCCCGCGCGGTTGGCGCAAGGGCTCGAGCTGCGCTCCCTGGGGAGGGAGCGATTCCCGAAAGCCACTTGCGCCGAGAGAGCGGGAGCGGCCTCGTCCCTCCGCGCGGCCTTACGCCGCTGACGCAGCTCGCCCCAAGATGGCGGCCTGGTTGTCGTCGGTGGCGGCAGCGCTGGCGGAGGGGGCGGCGGCAGCGGCGACCGTGAAGCGAGCGGCGGCAGTGGCGGAGGTGGCGGTGGCAGCAGCCGTGACGGCGGCAGCGACGGCGGCGACGACGACGACGACGACGGGTCTGGGGCGGGAGGAATGAGGCGGCCGAGGCGGGCCAGCGGCAGAGCCGAGTAGCGGAGAAGCGGCTCCTTCCCCTCCTCCCTCCCGGCGCGCGCGCGCCTGGGACCGGCCCCGGAGCGGCCTCCAGACCCCGACCGGGACCCGATCCGACCCTTACCCCGGCGGCCTCTCCCTCCGCGCCCCACCCTCCTCCTGCCCCGCCCCCGCGACCCCGGGCCCGGACGATGATGAAGTTCAAGTCGAACCAGACGCGGACCTACGACGGTGACGGCTACAAGAAGCGGGCCGCGTGTCTGTGCTTCCGCAACGAGAGCGAGGAGGAGGTGAGGGGGGCGCCGGTGCTGCGGGCCGGGGGTGGGGGAGGCGCGCGGGGACCGACCAAACCGGGCAACGTGCGAGACAATAGGGACGCCCCCGACCCGGGGAGGGGGGAGACGGAAATGGTGGCGAAAGGGGGTGTCCGCCCCCTCCTCCCGACTCCTGGAGCGAGGGGGAGCAGAAGGGACCCCTATTTGTGGTTTTCCCCTCCCCCATCCAATAGACTGGGAGGAGGGGACCAGAGAAGGGAGGTTGTCATTCTGGAAGAGACGTCGGGTCGGGTAGGGTGGGGCAGGGCTGAAAAACGGGGGCTGGAGGAGAGGGTCTGGGTGGTGGGCTGTGGGCTGCGGGCTGGGCCGAGTCGATTTGCCCAGGGCCAGCTCCCTTTGTAAAAGGCTGGGATTTGCCCAGGGTGGAAGAAGTGCGATTCCCCGAGGTGATGAATAAGGAAAAGAGCCAGAAGCTGTTGGGAGGAATTATGGAGCCCCAAAGGAGGGGAAAGGGGACATAAAGGATGGGGGAAAAGTAATTTCAGAGCTGGGGGTGGAGGCTCTAATTCTCTTTTGATAAGAATGACAGAGGTCAAATGGCGGCGGCTTAATGAATGGTCTGTAGTTACAGAGGCATCTTCCCACAGCCCGAGTTTTTGAGTCATCGGATACAGAACTATATTTGTCAGACACATTTCGTTGAGTGACCACTGTGTCGCCGAACAAGGCTAGGCTAGTAATTCACTTCGTTTAACATTTGTGCAGTTTGGCTGGGGTTTGTGTTGATCGTACTTCCCGTGCGAGGAAAGACCTACAAATAGCTGAGTGTTTGGGTGCCCAGTGGCAACTCTTTTACTACAAGCAGTATACCCTAGTGCAGTCTCAGAAAAGAGAAAGTTGGTGAAATAATCTTTGTGGGCTGGAAAATTTTTAGCATTATAGTTAATCTTCAAGGCTGAAACCTGTAATTAAGGTCCTTGGACTAATTCCTTCCACTGCCCAAAAGTAAGAGCCTTAGGGCAAGAATTGCTTGGGAGGGGGATGTAAAGAGGATCTGAATGCTTTGATTTATTTTTGGTAGTTATGGAAAAATCTGCTTCTAAAGTAGTTTTTGTGAGGATTCATATGAATGCATTGCTTCAGGCGTAAAGAACAGAGGCTTTGAAAACCTAAAATGGTGCCTTTGCAAGAAATTGTGTACATAATAGAATCGCAAAGTAAAAATGGAAACAGTAAAGGCTATTGTAATTCATTATGTTATATTGTGGGAAAGTGTTCAGCAGTGTGTTAATGGTGGCAGACCTACTGCACATCATATCGAAATGGGAAAAGAAATCTGAGCCAATACTTGTGAAGAAAAGCTATGATGAAGTGATGGATTGTCTGTAGATGCTTTCCAGAGAGATTTTAGAGGAAGTGGGAATTAAAATTAATGTCTAAAAAAGTGAATTCCTGTGACAATATATATTACTGAGGTATTATTATTTCCTTATAGTAGACTCTAAGGCGCTATATACTTGGTATAGAGGCACTTGTTTTAAAGGTTTCCAAAGCAGATGCATTTTAACAGCGATTCTAAACAATGCCTTCTTGTAAGTTATATACTCTTTTTTTTTAAAACTTTTTTTATATATGCTCTTTTAGGACCATAGTGGCTGTCTTAGTTTCACAAAAGCTTTGTTCTGTTATTGTGGCATTTGTAGCTTTAGGGTATCAGATAGGATCCCAGGCTTCAGGGAAAAATTATTTAAGTAATAATAGATTTTGCTATGATCTGTCCTACTTACAAGTTTATAATTCTGTTATGAATGATGTAAAATCTTTTATATTATAAATATATACATATATGTGCATTATATATGTAAACTGATTTTTTAAATGGAAATCCATTACGAATAAGTTAATTAAGGGTTTTTTTTTTGCCTAATCTTTTTTGCTTAAAAATTATGCCACTTAGTAATAACACCATCAGTAGCAGTACTTCAATCATTTGAGATTTCTGGGGTATAGATCTTTTCAGTAGCAATAGTAATTGTTAAATGTTTAAGGTATCCTAAAAATAAATATCACAGGCATTGTCACTGTTCTTTAGGATTTTAATCGAAAACTGTTCAAAGGAGTGCTGATAAATGTATCAAAAAACCATTTTAAAAACCTGACTGAACATTGCATTACTTATACTGAATTAACTTTTGAGAATTGGGTAATGAAGCTATTTGTAAATCATGGTCATGGAATATTAAAACTGTAAGTGATCTAATTAGTTTAACCAACTTTCTTAATTTTGTAATTTTACAGAAGAGAAATCTTAGGCCCAGGGAGGCTACAGTATGCTCAAGGAATATAGGTTTGTATTGATCTATGACAATATGAAGTACCCATCCTTTTTTGTGACAAGTTTGTCAGTCAGTAAACATTAAACACCTATTACGTGCCAGGCACTGTGCTAAGCTCTAGGGATTCAAAGAGGCAGAAGATATTCCTTGCCCTCAAAGAGCTCACATTCTAATGGGGGAGACAACAAGCAAACAAATATGTGCAAACAATCTATATACTGGATAAATAAGAAATAATTAAAAGAGGGACAGCAATAGAGTTCAGAAGGGTTGGGGAAAGCTTCCTGTAGAAAATGGGCTTTTAGTTGAGACATAAAGGAAAGCAGGAAAAACAGTAGACAGAGATGAGGAAGGAAAGGGTTCCAGGCATGAGGACTGCCAGAGAAAATGCCCAGAGCCTGAGAGATGAGTGTCTTGTTCCTGAAACAGCCAGGAGGCTACTGTTACTGGATGAAAGAGTTTGTGGCCCCTGCCACATTAGTTATCAGAAGATTGGAAAGGTAAGGAAGGTCTAGATCATGAAGGATTTTGAATGCCAAACAGAGGATTTGTATTTGATCCTGGAGATGGTAGGGAGCTCCTGGAGTTTATTGAGTAGATGTGATGTTTGGTAGTAGAGGTAGATATTGAGTAGAGGTGATGTGGTCAGACCCGTACTTTAGAAAAATCACTTTGGTGGCTGAATGGAGGATGGAGTAGAGTGGAGAGACTTGAGACAAGCAGACCTTGAAGCAGGCTATTCCAGTGGTCCAGGAGTGAGGTATTGAGGACCTGAACCAGAGTGGAGGCAGTTTCAGAGGAGAGGAGAGGGTGTTTTGGAGAAATCTCGCAAAAGAAATCCATAGGCCTTGCAACAGTTTGGATATGAGGGTGAAAGATAGGAGATGAGGATGACTTCCAGATTAGAAGCCTGAGGGTCTAGGAGAATGGTGTTGCCCTCAACAGTAATACAGAAGTTAGGGGGTAATGATTTAGGTATAGGTTCCCAAAGTGGGCGATAACCCCCCCCCGGGGGGGGTGCTAGTAGTTTGAAAAAACAGAAATTTAAAAAAAAAACTTTGTATCAAAGGGTTAAAGAAAGTAGATTTCCGGTGCTGAGTAATTTTTTTTAAGGAGGCAGTAGGCCAAATAAGTTTGGAAACCTCTGATTTAGGGGGAAAGGTAATGAGTTCAGTTTTAGACATGGTGGGTTTAAGATGTCTACTAGACATCGAATTTGAGATGTCTGAAAGGCAGTTGGAGATTCAAGATTGGAGGTCAGCAAAGAATTTGGGACAGGACAGGTAGATTTTAGAATCATCAGCATAGAAATGGAGATGACCCAGTGAAGTAGTTTAGACTGAGAAGAGAATAGACCTGTCCTGGGACAGAACCCTCTGGACCACCTATAATTAGAGGGTATTACCTGGATGAGGATCTAACAAAACAGACAGAAAAAGCAGTCTGATAGGTAGGAGGAAAACCAGGAGAGAATGATTTCCTAAAAATCTAGAGAGAAGATGGAAGGGAGGGTGATCAACAGTGTCAAAGGCAGCAGAGAGGTCAAGGAGAATGAGGATTAAGAAAAGACCATTGGATTTGGCAACTAAGAGATCATTGGTAATTCTGAGCAGAGCAGTTTTTGGTGGGATGATAAGGTGAGAAGCCAGAGTTAAGAAAAAAGTAAGAGGAGAGAAAGTGGAGGCACTTCTAGGAGTTTAGTCACCAAGAGCAGAAGAGATACAGGATGATAGTAAGGATAGAAGGATCAAGTGATGGTTTTTTGAGGATGGGAGAGACTTTTCCTTGTTTGAAGGTCATAGGGAAGGAGCCTACATAGACAGGAAGAAATTGAAGATAAGTGAGAGAGTAGGTATGACAAAGGGGGCAGTCTGTTGGAGGAGACATAATGGAATGGGATCACTTGTGCAGGAAGAGGGATTTGTCTTGGTAAGGAGTAAGGCCACTTCATCATATAAGAAGGGTGAAGGGGGATAAAATGGCAGAAGGCATCTGAGGGTGAGAGATGAGGAAGAGGGGAGAAGGAGCTTACAGCAAGTGGTCTCAATTATTTCTGTACAATATGGGGCAAGTTTCTCAGCTGAGAGAGTTGGGGAAAGGGAAGTCATTGGAGATTTGAGGAGAGATGAAAAGATTTAGAAGAGCAGTTATAGAGAGTAGGATAGTGAGTTGATAAGGGAGGTATAGTTATGATTGCCTAGCACCAGTGAGGGCCCAGATGAAGTTGTGTCCCATAATTTTGTTCCATTCAATTCGATTATAATGGTTGTGTGATTTTGTTTCCACCTTCGTTCAGTACAACTCATATAGGAGAGAAGGTGTCTGGATTGTGGGAGAGATCCAAGACAAGACACTGTGCAATTGGCAATGTAATAAATGTCTAGGGATTCAAGAGAAAATGACAGTGTACAGTTGAACTAATTCACCAAGGGGTCTGGATGGGGAAAAGAGGAGAGAGTGGCAAGTGCAGGGAAGATTCCGTGGGGAAGAACTTGGGGGCTGAGGGATTGAAGGTCACTGTGTCAAAAAAGAGTAGCGTTTGGTAAGGAAAGGCAGAAAGAGAGGTGGATAGCCAGTAGATTATGGTCAGATAAGGATATTTTGGAATTCTTGAACATGGAGGTGATGCATTTGTGGGTGATGGCAAGATCAAGGGTATGAGCATCTTTGTATGTGACT